AGAGTGAGAATACTTTAACCCACAAAGGGATATGGCATTTTCAACATAAAAAGCATGAATGGAACAGGACTTGCTGGAAAAGGCTCTCCTTGAACAAAAGGAGCCTACAGTACGCACACTCTGTGTGTTAGTAAAAAAAAAAAAAAAAAGCAAGCATGTTGATGAAAACGCTAAACTGAAATCCTTTCTGCTGGGAGCAGGAGGGAGTCCGTGGATGCTACCCTGAGCTCCTTGCAGGGGTGGAACCGCCAAAGAAATAAAGAAGTCGGGACCATCTGCAACGATAAGGGAAGTATCTGAGCAGCAGATACCGGCGTCTCTGGGAAGTCAATGCTACAGCAGTGCCACGGCCCAGGGCGCTTTCCTCAGTAGTCCGCGGGTCTCCCTCTCCTAAACCAAGCTCCTGATTCACCTCCTGCTCCAGTCCTACATTCTGACAGGTAGAAGCTAGGATCACCCATCGCGCTAAGCCGTAGTTTGATGCTGGCTCGTGGCGCACACGCGATCGGCCGGGCGGGCTCGCAGCACCTCATGCCTTAAGGTGGCAAGGGAGAACTCAGCCTGAAAGGGGAGAGCCTGAAACGGGTGCAGGCTGGGGAGCCGAGCTCGCTGATCCCGCCGGTGCAGGGAGCGCCGGGGCGTGACCGGGATCGGGGGAAGGAAGCGATTAACGAGGGAAGGGCTCCGGCGGTGGTAGGAGCGCCGCACTCACCCGGCCCGTGGGCCAAACCCACCGCCGCTGCCACCGCCCGGCGCTCGCCCTCTCTCTCGCCGCTCCCTCGTCACACAGGCCCGGCTTGGCCTAGGTGCACCGCGCCTTCTCATTGCCTCCCCCACAACCCCGGGGGAGCCAATCAGCGATCTCGATACTAGAGAGGCGGGTCGGCGCGGAAGATTTTTGTGACGTTCCAGCCCGTCCTTCAGGAGGGAAGGGAGAGCGAAGCTTGAAACCCTGGCCAATCAGCACTGAAGCGTGAGGGGGGGGTGGCGGGCGGGGGCGCTCTTTAGTCCCGCCCCGACACGAGGAAGAAGACCTGTGCTTCCCCCTCCCCTCCCTCTTTTGTTCGCCTTTGGCGTTGCTCCCGCCTCCGCAACGGTTTTTTTGACGCCTTACGGCAT